AAGCTAAAGCTAAGCTGGAGCTAAACTAAAGCTAAGCTAAAGCTAAATATAAAGATACGCTAAAACGAAGCTGAAGCTAAGCTGATGCTAAGCTAAAGCTAAGCTAAAGCTAAGCTGAAGCTAAGCTACAGCTAAGCTAAAGCTAAGCTAAGGCTAAGCTAAAGCTAAGTTAAATATAAGCTAAAGCTAAGCTGAAGCTAAGCTAAAGCTAAGCTAAAGCTAAGCTAAAGCTAAGCTAACGATAAGCTAAAGCTCAGCTGAATCTTAACTAAAGCTAAGCTAAAGCTAAGCTAAAGCTAAGCTGAAGCTAAGCTAAAGCTAAGCTAAGGCTACGCTAGCACTAAGTTAAAGCTAAGCTGAAGCTAAGGTGAAGCTAAGCTAAAGCTAAGCGAAAGATAAGCTAACGCTACATATAAAGACAAGCTACAGCTAAGCTGAAGCTAAGCGAAAGCTAAGCTAAAGCTAAGCTGAAGCTAAGCTAAAGCTAAGCGAAAGCTAAGCTAAAGCTAAGCTAAGGCTACGCTAAAGCTAAGCTAAAGCTAAGCTAAAGCTAAGCTGAAGCTAAGCTAAAGCTAAGCTAAAGATAAGCTAAAGCTAAATATAAAGATAAGCTAAAGATAAGCTAAAGCTAAGCTGAAGCTAAGCTGAAGCTAAGCTAAAGCTAAGCTGAAGCTAAGCGAAAGCTAAGCTAAAGCTAAGCTAAGGCTAGGCTAAAGCTAAGCTACAGCTAAGCTAAAGCTAAGCTGATGCTAAGCTAAAGCTAAGCTAAAGCTAAACTAAGGCTAAGCTAACACTAAGTTAAAGCTAAGCTAAAGCTAAGCTGAAGCTAAGCGGAAGCTAAGCTAAAGCTAAGCTAAAGCTAAATATACAGATAAGCTAAAGCTAAGCTAAAGCTAAGCTGAAGCTAAGCTGAAGCTAAGCTAAAGCTAAGCTGGAGCTAAGCGAAAGCTAAGCTAAAGCTAAGCTAAGGCTAAGCTAACGCTAAGCTAAAGCTAAGCTAAAGCTAAGCTGAAGCTAAGCGAAAGCTAAGCTAAAGCTAAGCTACAGCTAAGCTAAAGCTAACTATAAAGATAAGCTAAAGCTGAGCTAAAGCTAAGCTAAAGCTAAGCTGAAGCTAAAGCTAAGCTAAAGCTAAGCTGAAGCTAAGCTAAAGCTAAGCTAAAGCTAAGCTGAAGCTAAGCTAAGGCTGAGCTAACACTAAGTTAAAGCTAAGCTAAAGCTAAGCTGAAGTTAAGCTAAAGCTAAGCTAAAGCTAAGCTAAAGCTAAGCTGAAGCTAAGTATAAAGATAAGCTAAACCTAAGCTAAAGCTAAGCTGAAGCTAAGCTGAAGCTCTGAGCTAAAGCTAAGCTGAAGCTAAGCGAAAGCTAAGCTAAAGCTAAGCTAAGGCTAAGCTAAAGCTAAGCTAAAGCTAAGCTAAAGCTAAGCTGAAGCTAAGCTAAAGCTAAGCTAAAGCTAAGCTAAGGCTAAGCTAACACTAAGTTAAAGCTAAGCTAAAGCTAAGCTGAAGCTAAGCTGAAGCTAAGATGAAACTAAGCTAAAGCTAAGCTAAAGCTAAGCTAAAGCTAAATGTAAAGATAAGCTAAAGCTAAGCTAAAGCTAAGCTGAAGCTAAGCTGAAGCTAAGCTAAAGTTAAGCTGAAGCTAAGCTAAAGCTAAGCTAAAGCTAAGCTAAAGCTAAGCTGAAGCTAAGCTGAAGCTAAGCTAAAGTTAAGCTGAAGCTAAGCTAAAGCTAAGCTAAAGCTAAGCTCAGGCTAAGCTAAAGCTAAGCTAAAGCTAAGCTAAAGCTAAGTATAAATATAAGCTAAAGCTAAGCTAAAGCTAAGCTAAAGATAAGCTAAAGCTAAGCTACAGCTAAGCTAAAGCTAAGCTAAAGCCAAGCTAAAGCTAAGCTAACGTTAAGCTCAAGCTAAGCTAAAGCTAAGCTAAAGCTAAGCTAAGGCTAAGCTAACACTAAGTTAAAGCTAAGCTAAAGCTAAGCTGAAGCTAAGCTGAAGCTAAGCTAAAGCTAAAGCTAAAGATAAAGATAGGCTAAAGCTAAGCTAAAGCTAAGCTGAAGCTAAGCTGAAGCTAAGCTAAAGTTAAGCTGAAGCTAAGCGAAAGTTAAGCTAAAGCTAAACTAAGGCTAAGCTAAAGCTAAGCTAAAGCTAAGCTGAAGCTAAGCGAAAACTAAGCTAAAGCTAAGCTAAAGCTAAGCTAACACTAAGTTAAAGCTAAGCTAAAGCTAAGCTAAAGCTAAGCTAAAGCTAAGTATAAAGCTAAGTATAAAGATAAGTATAAAGATAAGCTAAAGCTAAGATGAAGCTAAGCTGAAGCTAAGCTAAAGCTAAGCTGAAGCTAAGCGAAAGCTAAGCTAAAGCTAAGCTAAGGCTAAGCTAAAGCTAAGCTAAAGCTAAGCTAAAGCTAAGCTGAAGCTAAGCTAAAGCTAAGCTAAATATAAGCTAAAGCTAAGTATAAAGCTAAGCTAAGGCTAAGCTACAGCTAAGCTAAAGCTAAGCTAAAGCTAAGCTAAAGCTAAGCTGAAGCTAAGCTAAAGCTAAGCTAAAGCTAAGCTAAAGCTAAGATAAAGCTAAGCTAACACTAAGCTAAAGCTAAGCTAACACTAAGCTGAAGCTAAGCTAAAGCTAAGCTAAAGCTAAGCTAAAACTAAGCTAAATATAAGCTAAAGTTAAGCTAAAGCTAAGCTAAAGCTAAGCTAAAGCTAAGCTAAGGCTAAGCTAACACTAAGCTAAATCTAAGCTAACACTAAGCTGAGGCTAAGCTAAATCTAAGCTAAATCTAAGCTAAAGCTAAGCTAACACTAAGCTAAAGCTAAGCTAATGCTAAGCTAAAGCTAAACTGAAGCTAAGCTAACACTAAGCTAAAGCTAAGCTAAAGCTAAGCTAAAGCTAAAGCTAAAGCTAAGCTAAAGCTAAAGCTAAGGCTAAAGCTCCCATGGGACTGGGGGAACCGCGGGGCGGGGACTGGAGGAACCGCCCGGGGCGGTTAGCACTGCCCGGCCCTTTAAGCAAAGAGAGTAAGAACCCTTCTAGGCAGAGCCTAGGTAGGGAAAAAACAAAAACAACAAAAACAACAAAAAACATAAACATAAACGTTTGGCGCTCCGCGCGGACTTCTTGGATCTGCGCTGCACCTCCTTCCCTGGCGCGCGAAGCGCGCCGGGAGGGGCGCCGGAGGCGCCGCCAGGGGGGCCACGCGCGGATCCAAGAAATCCGCGCGGAACGTCAAAGTTTCTATGTATGCCGTTTTTTCCTCTTCGAGCGTGGCCCCAAGGACGTTGCGAAGCCGACTCGCCACATGGGGCCTGTTGGCATCCGCAGACAGAGCGTGTGCAGGCCCCAGGGCAGCGATCACGGGGAGCTGCGTGCTGCAAGGCTGGAAGCGTGGCCCGTGCGGCCTGCGGCCCTGCCACATGCGGTACAGGCGGCGCGGGGCCCGGTCATCGAGTCGGCGTGCCCGGCGTCCTCTCGCTGGCGGCAGGGGCAGGCGCTGCGTAGGCAGTCAGCAGGAAGGCTCGGGGGAAGCGGCCGAGGGGCCTCCGAAGTACGGCTGGGGGGCTAACGCAGCCCGGGCGGGGAGCACAGGTTTCACACAGCACACACACACACACACCACACACACACACGCGCGCACACACGCGCGCGCGCACACACACACGCGCGCACACACGCGCACACACACGCACACACGCACACACCCACAGACACACACACACACACACGCACACACACACGCACACACACACACACACACACACACACGTTTATCAGCAGGGACGGAGCCCAGCGGCACGACAGGACAGACGAACGACGGACACACACGAGCACGAAACTCACTCACACTTTTTGGCGTCGCGGCCCCGCGCGCAGCGTCGAGGCGGAGAAAGTCGGGCGGAGAAACGTGCGCGGCCAGCCCAGAACACGCGGCGTGGAGCCTGGGATCCGCCCATCGGGGATCAACCGAGTCGCTCGCGGGGGGCCGCGAGGGGTGGGGGGGAGACGAAAGGAGCGAGACAAGGAAGACAGTGCGCAGTCAATGCAGACAAACACACACACACACACACACACAAACACACACACACACACTCACGCACACGCACACACGCACGCACGCACGCACGCACGAACGCACGACAGTAAAAAAACACGTTGACAGCCAGAAGTGGGGCTCCTCTTGTCAGAGCGCGGGCCCCTTGTACGGCATCCACTGCTTAGGAGACCAGCCTAGAAATCCCTGTCAACCCCAACAGCATCTGTGCAGGTGGATGGGTACTAAGCGAAGAAAGAAAGTATCAGGGCCGAAGAGGGCAAGGACGCGTGGGAAGAGAACCGCGGGCGCCACTCCTCCGCTGCACCTTCTGACTCCTCCCTTCCCCTAGTCCTTCCGCCTACTCCCCTTACTCCCTCCCATTCTTGCACAGTCAAAGGGTGTCTTAAGGACGGGTGGTAAGGACGCAAGACCCGTGGAAGGCCGAAGTTGGGACTTTTTGGAGCGGCGGGCGACACGACCAGTGAAGACGGCAAAGGACAGGCCGCAGAGGCAAGATCACAAGGGCACCCCAAATGAAGGAGTGCGTCCTTACTGGGCGCGTTGACTGCATTAAGCATGGAAACATCGTCAAGGATCACGACAAGATCCCTGGACCCCCTCTTGCGGCGCCATTTTTTCCAGCCGGATCGACCTGCGGGGGCCCAGAGGGGCCCGACGTTGGGCGAAACCGCCCGGCTCGGAACAAATGCGTCGCCACGACCTCAGGGCTCGCCTGGCTCCCTCTCCCAGGAAGGCACCAACTATACACCAACACCGATCCTGGCCAGGATCACCCTGGGCCCAGGATCGGTGTACACGCCCTCCTGCCTTGCGCAAGAAGGCATATACACCGATCCTGGGCCCAGGGTGATCCTGGGCCAGGATCGGTGTTGGTGTATAGTTGGTGCCCTCCGATCTCCCCCCCCTCCCGCCCTCCTGCCCCTCGTCGACGACTGGCGGGGCAGCCCGCCGACGAACGGGCCCCCGAGGGCGCCGCTCAGCAGGAGCGGCGCGTCGAGCGGCGCGTCCATGGCGCTCGGCTCCGGGCGCGGCGCCCCGGGCGAGACCCCACCATGGACGGCGCTGGACGGCGGCGGCGGTGCGCGGGGGGGGGGGCGGAGGACTGGGGGAGGGGGAAAGAGGACGGGGGAGAAGGAACAGGAAGAGGAGGAGGGAGGAGGAGGAGGGAGAAGGAGGAGGACGGCGAGGAGGGAGGAGGGAGGAGGAGAGGGGGAGGAGGAGGAGACGGGGAGAGAGGAGGGCCAAGAGAGGAGGGAAGAGGTGGGAGGAAGGGATGGGGAGGCAGGGAGAAGAGGCAGGAGGACGCAGGATGAGAGAGCAGGGTACGGTGAGGAGCACGTCTGGGCCACCCGCCACCGTGCCCCTGGGACGCGTTGAGGCGTCGCAGAGTGCAGAGCTGTACGGCACGGCCTCCGTACAGTCTTCTGCGGGCCACACACGCACACTTGCCATCGCTCGGAAGTCCCTTCCCCGTGTACCTGTTGTTCGGCGTCGTGCGCTTACGTGAGCCTCCTATGGAAATGCACGTGTACGTGCCCTGGCGCCTGCCTCCACCTGCAAGGGCCTCGTGAGAGCTCCCAGCAAAACAAGAGAAGAAGCAAGGTGCGGTGGAGGAGGGCGAGAAGACGAAAGAGGAAGAGGGGAAGACGACGACGAACACGAGGAGGTAAACACCGACACAATGCAGGAGAGTGTGGAATGTCTGACGGCTCTCGCACGGCTGAGGACGACAGGTGTACCACGTAACGGCGTTCCCCTCATCCTTCTCTCACTGTTCCGTCCTCATCCTCCTCTTCCTCCCCTCCTCCGCCGCCTCCTTCGCAACAACGTGCTCGTCGTCATCCTCCTCGTCTCCCTCTCCTCATCCTCCTCCTCCTCATCGACATCGTTCTTCTCTCATAATCTTCCTCTATTACTCCTCATCCTCCGCATTATCCTATGTTCACCACTTCTCCGCCACAAGAGCTCCAGGATGAACCTGGGCTGTCCTGAGACATCCCAAGCCCACACGGCCGAAACAACATACAATGTGGCCCCGATGGTCGGGACGGGTGGTACTCATTCTAGATGTTGCTCGAGCAGTCGCCACACCAATATCACCATCACCACCACCACCACCATCAGCATCATTATTATGGGCATCTGCATCACCATCATCATCACAATCACCATCACGATCACCATCGCCATCGCCATCGCCACCACAATCAACATCGTCGTCATCATTATATTTTTCCTCGTCCTACCACTCCGCCCCAATACGGCCTCGCCGCCGACGACAGCGCCTAGGCCGCCGATGCACCACACGTTACAATAGGATAAGCCGCATGCAATGTAATTCATCTGACTCATTCTCCTCCTCATCATCCTTTCACTAATACCCCTACTTCGCCCCAGCGCGGCCTCGCAACATCCAATGACGGCCTAAAGACGGCAGAAGTGTCACATGTGACGGCCTCCTGTGCATTTCTCCAATCGTCACACACACACACACACACCGGATGGGCCAAGAAGAAAGATAAGAAACGGGGAAAAAGGGGTAAGGGGAACGCTGAGAGAAGGACACCTTAGAACTTGACCAAGCAGACGCCGCAAGCGCTGTGCTGACACTTGCTGAGGGCCGCTGGATACCAGTGCCAAGGAAATTCAGTGAGAAGAGAAGGAATATTGGCAGGAGGAGGGCGAATAAAGCGAGAAGGGAAACGACGACACCTGGCGCTGCACGCATGCGTGGCAAAAACGAATCAGCCTCGCTGGCGAATGGGCGAATGTTCGGCACGATGCTACTGGCCCTCTGGGAGTAGATGGATCAGCACGTCACCCCTTCGCAGGACGTCCGTTTTTCCACTTCGAGGGGGGACCATTCCTGGATTAGACGGCGGGGAAGGAAGGAGGTTGAATCACCGTGCCCGTTGACATGCAGTTTTGCCGCATCTGTACGACTACTATCTTGCAAAACCGAAAACGACTACTTCTATTTCTACGTATATTGATACTGCTATGGCTACTACAAGAACTAATATTATGACGACTGCTGTTACTACTACCACCACTGATACCACCAATTCGACTACGACTATAAATCCGCCGACCCTGTCGGCGTGTGTAAAAGACCTGTCCGTTCGATTCGCCGTCTCCGTCATTCGTTAGTCGTCGTCTGTCGTTCCATTTCCCTGCGCCCCCCTTTTCCCTGGGCCCGTCGCCGCTCCACCCCTTTCCCTGGGCCCTCCTCCTCAAGCACTGGGCCCGCCGCTCCCCCCCCCTTCCCTAGGCCCTCCTCCTCAAGCGCACCAGCCAAAGCGAAATTGAGCAACGTCGTAATTGACTGCCTCCAAGACGGCCCAAGAGGCCTCCAAGATGGCTACAAGAGGGTGCCCAGACGAGGAACCAGAACGGACATGTCGAGCCCGCGGCCACGAGAGACTCCCAGGAGGAACCAAGAGGCCCCCAAGA